GTGCTGGGAGATTTTAAGGTCTTTCTGATAGCTTTAGATGGAATGTTTTATAGAATGCACATGACAGGATTGTGCTTATAGTTGCTTCCAATGTAACAAGATATGAATACAGACCGAAATGTAGGTATTAAGAAAATAGTCACCCAGAGGCTATTGAGAATCAAGCCAACACCTTCAACTTTCACCTTCTAACATTCTAACATCTTCCAAGACAATAAAGGTTTTTAAGGAGATGTGAGTAATTTATCCATCTGTTGGCCCTCTGATCTACAAGCAAAGCAAGAATTTTCTCAATGTGAATGGAGGGAGACCAGGAGAAATTACCACTCAAACTGATGTGCAATCTAGACTACTAATTACACAATGAAATTAAACTGTGTAAGACAACAAAAAAGAAAACAATACAACAGCATATTGCATACAAACACGGGTCATGGAGGTCATGGACCCTCATGAGATATTTTATCTTTAGAAGTGATTTGTGTTTCAGGCTAAGTGATTAAAACTGTCAAAGCGACTATTAGTATACAGTTAATATATATTTGTCTATTGTAATATTAAACTTTACACACATATGCTAAAAGGGTGAGGTTTAAGTGACTTGTTTTTGTTCTTTTTTTTTTTTTGACAGTTTGGAAATCAGAACATGGAAATAATTAAAGGAATAATTTAGCCAAAAGTGAAAATCTGTAATTATTTATTCACCTTCATGTCCTTCCACACCAGAATGCTGTAATTTTTTTTTCATGGAACATAAAACAAAAATCTTCAAGCAACTCTAAAGCTCCAAATATGACAAAAAAAATAAATAAATACCCTAAACAGACTGAACTATAAGAGAGCCAATGCCACTGGATTAGTGAACAAATCCTACTTTTGAGCAGTTGCTTTTTAAAGGGGTTATGAACTAAGAAATCAAATTTCCCTTCATCTTCAACGTATTATAAAAACATGCCGTAAGTTTCAGAACTCAAAACTTTCTCTTGAGTTCAAAAACACCTTTTATTGAAACCAAGCTGAAAAATTTGTCACATTATGACAAGCTAGTTTCGGAATTTGTCACATTATGACATCACAGTGCGACGAAAGACCGCCTCGGCAGAACAAAATCAACGCCTACTCCTATATTATTGCCTCTTTAGCTCCGCCCACTGATTCATGCATGTAGTAGGAGGAGAGGAAATACTAGAGAGATGCAAACACAAGATTACTCCATCAACAAAACCACAGAGATCCTCTGAGAATTACAAGTAAGTTGTGAAAAAACACAGTCTTTGAATTGCCTTCCTTGTGATCCTAACACCATATCTACATCGGATGCAAGAGCTGTTCCATTGCATCGTGAATCCATTTCTCTTTCGTGTCAGAAGAGCAAGTGCTTGGAGTACATCAGAAGTAGAACAGAATATCAGTTTACTTTTGGGGATTTGTCGTGTCAATCTGCACCACAGACAAAATCACTTATTATAATGGGTTCTGTTGTCTTTAATAGAGGTGTGCCACTCGTGTACAGTGTAGACACTGGGCAACATTAGGAAAGAGCTCCAGATCGTGTCACTGAAACAGTTTGTTTGCGTTATTTTATTTCAGATTAATTTTTAAACAGTTCAACTGAAGCTTTTCAGAGAGACTGAAAGTAAAGGATAAGTCTGACTATATTGGATCCAACAGTAACGTCGCAATACATAAGTGTGAGTAACCCTCGTTCCCTGAAGGAGGGAACAGAGACGTCACGTCGGATGACCGACGAAATTGGGATCTCGCTTAGAGGGACCAATCTACTTCGAGTGTAAACTAAACGAGCCAATGCACATTGGCATGCGATTATTGCATCCAGCTGCTGCTGATCACAGCGTGAGTATAAGTAGGCAGCAGATGCAGCGCATATTCAGGTTTTCGCTGAGGAGCCGAGCCGGTGACCCGGCCGCTCAGCGGTGGTACAGGAGCTGTTGCGCCGGGACGTGACGTCTCCGTCCCCTCCTTCAGGGAACGAGGGTTACCATACGTAACCGAGACGTTCCCTTTCAGTCGGTCACTCCCGACGTCACTTCGGATGACTGACAAAATTGGGATCCTACCAAAAGGCCACAGCTACTGCCCCTTCCAGTGTCCTGTGGAAGTCACCTGCGCCCCTATTTTTTGGTGCAGGCCAGAGACAAGAGGACCAGCTACTGCTACTATGGCACTACCCACTGAGTAAGACTGGATAACACTGGGAAAACGTATCCATTCCCCTCGGACCAGGGATGTTACGGAAGCTCGAACCTTCCCGAAGGAGGTTTCGGAAGCAATACACATATGGACATCCCTTAGGTGCATATGGAAGAATGGAGGTGATTGAACCCTCTTGGATTGGCAAAGGTCTGCCGGGGAAACACGGGCTCAAGGCTATACCGTGGACTTTACACATATGAGATCCACTTGGGTCTTACATATGGAACCCAGCCTTCTACCGGTTCTCGAGGATTCAGCGAGTGAAGGCCTGGCGCCGGACGCTCCGCTAAGTCTGGCTGCCGAGGGGACGGAGGAACTCAACAGGGTCTACTGTATGGACTCTCTGGAGTGTTTTTGAAAGCCGACCAGAAGCCGGGGCCCCTCAATGCTTCTACCCGTTTGAGGCGAGAACACAGGAGGATACCGGCTCCACACGAAGGCTATAAAATCTGGCGAACGTGTTAGGGGTCGCCTAGCCCGCAGCTCTACAGATATCCGCCAGCGAGGCGCCATAAGCCAGCGCCCAGGAGGATGCAACACTTCTAGTTGAGTGAGCTCGCAACCTGAACGGGCAGGGCACACCCTGTGCCTGATAAGCCAGGGTGATGGCATCCACTATCCAGTGGGCCATCCTCTGCTTCGAGACGGCATTCCCCTTCTGCCGGCCTCCGTGACAAACAAAGAGGTGGTCTGAGGTCCTGAAGCTTTGCGTCCGGTCAATGTAGCACCTTAAGGCTCAGACGGGACAGAGCAAAACTAGGGCTGGGTCTGCCTCCTCCGAGGGCAGTGCTTGGAGGTTCACCCCCTGATCCCTGAAGGGAGTAGCGGGAACCTTGGGCACGTAGCCGGGAACTCTAGGCATAAATTGTTGACCGAAAATGCATGCAGGTCCCCTACCCTCTTGATGAAGGCCAATGCTAGCAGGAGCAAAGTCTTCATTGAAAGGAACTTCAGCTCAACCACCTGCAAAAAGGCTCAAATGGGCCCTGCTGTAGTGCCGTGAGCACCAGAGTCAGGTCCCACGAGGGAATAGAGGGGGGCCGTGGAGGATTTAACCTTCTCGCCCCCTTAAGGAACCTGACGACCAGGTCATGCTTCCCCA